TAGTATGAAATTAATATTTTCATAAAAGTGTAAAATAATTTAGTTATATTTCATTTATTCATTTTTTACATTCTTTTCTTTTAAAATTTAAAAGTATTCGTAAAAGTACTTAATGAGCTGAATGTTACTTTATTTTTTTTTTTTTTTTTGGAATTCACGTTCAATAAAGTTCGTTCGAAATAGTATTTTCAGACGATATTTTTTTACAGAAATGAAGGACCATTACCTTCGCAAAAATGCTGCAAATTAAATGTAACAAAAAATTAATTGATTAACTCTATCTTTCATGTTACTTTTATTCTTGTACGTTACTGTAATACCAGGCGCCATTCTATTTATCTCGTTCTTTGTTCAAAATATACAACATTCTCTCGCCCGTAAGCCGATGACTCACAATAATAATGATAAGGATATAAAAATACAATACAAATTGTAGTGCGGCTTACTCGCGCGCACGTGTAGATAAAAACTGATATACAAAATATTATAATTCTTAAATGCTACAAATATTTTATCTTATTACGCGGGCATAAATAACTAACGGTATATTAAATGTCTAAAGCTTTAATACTGAAAGAATCTTAAAAGAAAAATCATGAAACAGACATCTTAAACTAATACTATCTCGTACTTTTAACACTGCAATACGCAACAAGTATTATTCAGCATAACATTCCAAGTTACTCTCTGTCTCGCTCTCTCTCTCTCTCTCTCTCTCTCTCTCTCTCTCCATCGTTTTAAAATGAAAATCGACCGCAACAACCCTCGACAAATGGCAGAGATAAGGATGCGATAACAGCGATATAAATGGTCACTACACCTGCCTTGTTATTTAACCAGATCGAGCAATCCACAGACATGGATATCTGCACTTTTCACTTTTCACTATTGCTCCTGGTCATGAAAAAGGCAGATTATCGATGGGCGGAAGAATTTTCACATATCGATTTGTTTAGTTGTGTAACGCGTTTATCGATAATACGCGACGTCCCGACGAGATCGGGGCCAATTACTATAAATGTGCAAACGCAACTCTCTTCGTTAATTCGCAGTTGTCGATTTTCATTGGGAATGCAGTGCGCGCTTGTTGGCTTTTGCCTTCTTGGCGGATGTTCCACCGCTACCAAAAAGCTCAGCTATCCGATATACCAGGGCTTTCGTGAAAACGAGTTTGTCTGCGGTAACGAGGTCGAAATTGACGCTCAGACGTGACTGGCAAAGAATGAAAAGAACACTTTCAACAAATAGAAGCTGGTGTATCGATATTTGAAACTAATCCTCAAGCTATTAAATTTAAAAAGTGTTTATTGTCGACATTGTGTATTGTTTGGGAGCTCTTATTAAATGAAACTGATCGCATCGGAGCAATTACGCAACTAGATGATGAAGTACGCTACTCGAGCGTGAGCGCGCTCGGCTGAAACATTGATAGAGGAATCGGAAAAAGGGTCACGGTTCTTTTTTGGCATCATACGCGTGCTTTTTTCGCCTCTTTAGCGCGATCAATGTCGCAAGTACATACGCGCGCGTACACTAACTAATCCCGATTCATCTGCGCTATGTCACCGAGATAGTGTGCAGATTTTTATGCCAAGCAGCACGAAAATTTTTGCACAAGCGGCAATAAACTTATGCGTGAATGGTGATGTATAGACGGCGAAAAAAATTGGCTGCCGAGGCATTTGTTTTGTAAAACGTCAACTCATATAGTCGCAAACAATGCTATAAATTAACCATGATAATTGTTGCATCCATTACCGTATATGCCCGGGCATGTTTTATTCATAAACCGTACGTGTAAGATATTTTCTGCGCGGAAACACGATGCGAGAGCAATGCGTTAAAAATCTCTCAAACAGTTTAACGAGAATTCAAAGTGATCTCGTTTAATTGACTGACGCATTAGTTTTATTGTCTTTTATTATGAGAAACTGTTATACGATTGATAGTGTAGAAACATTAAGGTAACCATATCATATATATATATATATATATATATATACATATCAAATGTCAAATGTCATGAAATATTATAGAGCAGAATTTAATTGGATTAGGAAACAGAATTGTCGCTAAAACGATATTTTCGTACTTGCGCAAGTTTCAATGTAAATAATTTCATAAATATTACACAAATTATGCATAACACCACCTGACATCGAGCGAAATGGAGAATTAGTACCACAGTACAAACTTCATAAAACTGACTTGAAGTTTTAAGAAAAGTTCAACACGGAAACAAAATTGTCCTAACAAATAAAAAAGTTTTCTACATCCTAGAGAACTCCTCAGAGTGTTTTAGAGGCTTTTATTGCCATTCTCTAACGATCCAATCCTCGTATCTCTCCAATCAGTTGAGAATGTTCTCATAAACAAACAGCGAGTTCTACATACTCCATTCGTTCTCTTCGTCAACCCCTGCGCGCCCTTTATCATTATCCGATCACAATTAATGGCCCTTATCCTACACGCCATCGCTCCTCGTTCGCATATAATTACGAGCATGTAAAATGGCCTCTACTCTGTATATACAAATGCATACATAGGGAACAGGCACACAACATCCATCTGCCAAACCAACCCACCCTTATATTATATACGAATTTGCGAGAAAAGTTCATTCGCTATAGAGCCTCGAGTGTTTCAAAAATTTAAGCCCTGGCATACTTGTTTCATAGAATACAATCCTTCTGTCGGAATCATAATCATGTGATTGTAATAAACTGGATGATTTATGAACATATCAAAATTATAAATATTTTCTTAACATCTTCGACATCCTTGATATTACTTTAAACTATTATGAATAATGCTTTTATTGTAAGAATTCATCAAATTTCGAGCATCCTTACAAACATTACATGAACTACATTCATAAATGAGTTCAAGTTTCATAATCATAATTTATATAATACACGAATAAACTTATCTTTGTAGGCGATCATTTTTACAGTTTAAACGAGTATTTATGTATTTTATTTTACATTTTAATTCTGATTGACAATAGGCATTAAGCATAAATTTCACACGGAGTGCGAAAACGATTTCTCGGTTACCTGTATCCAGACATCAGTTTCATATACTTTATAGTAAGTAGTTAACATGGAATTTTATAATATAGGCACATTGCAGCGCATATGAGTATTTATGTGCGGGTAATAAGAGTAATGATAATATTAAAAAATTTCGTTTATATAATACCCGATTGGTAAGAGAATTTGAAATCTCTCATTGATTATACAAGTGAAAAATTGAAGTACCGTTAGGAATTCAATTTTAGTTATCAAAGTATAAATGTTTTTGTATTTAAATTACAAATAGATCGTACGTGAAATTTCAGTTAATATAAATATTACTGTATCTTTATTACTGGGCTAGTAATAAAGATTTCTGACGGTATGAAAACTTAAAGCGTCCAGTAATTAATATAAGGACCTCATAACTTATTAAGTGCGACCAACAGTAAAGTCAATGAAAACTGTATAAATGAAAATGTAATGGAGCGGGAGCATCGGTTACTAAACCACGTTATAAAGCACATTGAGGAGTGAGAGACGTATAATCGGTAGAGAAGAATCAATTTTTAAAAATTTATAATAAAACGACTTTAGTACACAAATCGGCAACAATTACAATCGAGTAAATAAAAGTACATTTAAAATATTCAATTTTTACATTAAGATATAATTTTCATATTTCAATGTAATATTTATTCTATTATATATGCTGTTCGCTTTGAAAACTATTGATAATACTTCTTAAAAATTATTTTTTTAACTAAATTATAGAACATTAGCATTTTTTAATTTAAAACTTAACTTTGCACTAATGGTAAAGTTTTTATGTTATTTTATTAGACGGGCTTAAGCTTTTCAAAATCATTATTGTTAATAAACAAACTTTACGAAGACGAACAATGATGGAAAGAGGTGGATATATAAAGAGAGAGACAGAGACAGAGAGAGACAGAGAGAGAGAGAGAGAGAGAGAGAAAGAGAGAGACGAAAATTCAAAAGCAATGCTTTTTGAAGGCAGAAATTACTAACATCGTAAAACAGTTTCGAATAATATTCTATTATTCTTTTGCCGACATTTAGTTATTAATTTAATTAGAAATATTTCTACGAAGCACTCAGACATTTGATGTCATTGCTTCGCTTATAATATACTTTTAAAATTTTAAATTAGAGTTTCGTTCTCATTAGAATTATGTTCGAGGTTAACGTAAATAATATTGTATAATATTGCGCAGAAGAGGCGTTTGAATGTTGAGACTACGTTTGTGGTAAATATAGGCAGACTAACGAGAAAAATAAACTTATTTTCAGTTTTTAAATGAAATTATGCGCACATTATATCCCAAGAAATAGGCATTTAGCCTCCATTAATTCTTTCCATTATCTGCTCTACAATACATTACAATAATACTTCTTAAAAATCAATCAACGTCTAAATTATTAAGTACTCGTAAGCTTGATCGGAGCGATCCTGATCCGAAGCATTCCTGAATCGATATAAAAATTGCTAGCCTCGTCAGACATAAACAGTTCATCAATGCCACTTAAATGTTTCGTTTTCACTATTTTTCATACGAGCCCTCCGACATCAAAATATAAAGTTAAGGCAACCCCAATGTCCTGTTAATACCGATTACGGCCAGCCAATGACTATAATCCCAAAATGATTTTTCCCTAGCAACCGAAAAACATTCACACTCGCTTACTTCCATATGTTCGAGACATTCGGTAAATTCCTGTGCCCCCACTCCTCACCCTCCCTTCCGCAATCTCACTCGGCATAGAGCAAAGACGGAGTGCTGCCTGCCACTAGGGTCGTCGCTGCAAACAAAGGACAGGCCGCGCACGCTGGTCTCTATCATCCAACGGTACCTACCTACCAAGGGGGTTCCGGAAGCTATGCACACCAATGAGAGGGAGCGAGAGCGCAAGGGAGTCTACACAAGAAAGTATAGGAGCGTAAGTGGCACACACGACACTCACCTTTTGTGCTTTGCAGGCGGCTGCCAAGGGCAGGACGTCGTGGGGATGAGCCGTGTGCCGGTCGCGCAGACAAAGCCCGCAGGCCGCGATCTTGCAGAGCGCGCAATAGAGGCTCACGGTCTCGCCGACGTGCTCCAGGCAGCCCGGATTACCGTTCTCGTGGTGGCTTCGCTGTTTTTGCATTGGCCCCATGCCACCTGACCAACTGCCCTGGGCCGGGCCCAGCTTGTGCGTGGCCAAGGGGCCGCGCTTGGGGTGACAGGACTCGCGGCAGCTCTCGCAGTACAGCACCTGAAAGAGAACGGACGGGCATTTCCATTAGGTTTAGTCGTCGGGGAGTTGAGGGCTACGAGATAGGCGTAAGGTTAGTGTGAACATAAAGGGCAAAGCTACGGCCCTACAGTGAAAATTATATGGGTCGATTGGGATCTAATAGTAATTGAGCATCCGCCGTCTGATCATGAAGTTCGGCAAGCTCCGTTGTCTTGTAATCTAATGCTCAATAGGCTATGCCTAGGGACTTATTCAAATTTAAGTACAATTACAATTTAAAATAATTTAGAAGCATCTTAAATTTAATACATGTAGAGAAGAGGTACGGTCGAAGTGGAGCAATATAAAAACTTGATAAATACGTAATTTATTATATTTTCATTGATAAAAGCCCTTGTAATTTTTCTACTCTTATTTTTGTTGTAACTACGTAATATAAATAATGAATATTTATTTATAGTTGTTAATACATTCAGTTCGTGAAATTGAATAGCTTTGTTGTTCAAAAAATTAAATGAAAATAGCTACTTTTTTATTGTATTCGGATACGTTCAAGGAAAGTAAAATATATTGTTTTGTTTTAAAAAATTGTAGAACTCCGTCGAGTGAATGTTTAATATTACTTAAGCATTCGAGATAAAATTGCGAAAATTTTTGTAATCATTCGAAATTTATTTGTAGCGCCGTAACTTTCATTGTACATATCATAAATATACAAAAGAACATCAATTATTAATTTTTTAAATTAACGGCAAATTGAAGGTTACATTATTACAAAGATTATAAAAAAAAATAATATTTTTTATGACAATGATTTATACAGTTGAATTGCTAACTGATATTGTATTATTTCGACTGTTAATTCAAATTTTGTTAAACAGTTTCAAATTATCAATCAAACATTTGAACAATATATGTGCGTGTGTGTGCGCGCGCGCGCGCGTGTGTGTGTGTGTAAGAAACATTCATTTTGATAGTCTTATAATTGGAAGAATAATACTGTAAATTAAAAATTCTAATAAATATGAATCGTTTCTTATAAAATAATTTGCTCTTTATAGAAATGAATATTCATATTGAAAGAAGAAAACTGTAAATTTAAATCGATCGAAGAGTATTATTATAGTTTTATCAAATTTATTTTATAAGTGTCATTATAAAAATTCCAGAAATATAAATAAAATGAAAATTAAATACAATTCATCTTTAAATCGCAAAATGTATAATCGTTCGGAGATCGGAGGAAGATTTGTCGAGCAGAAGAAAAACAATCGGAGTGCACAGCAACTTTACAATGAAACACTCGTACCGTGGAGAAAGCATAATAGATGCCGTGTTTATATGAAGCAATCGATTTGACGGCATCTCATAGAAAGCGAGCATAGTAGCAAATGAGAGAAGGAATGAAACTGAAATAGAGAATTAGAGAGAGAGAGAGAGAGAGAGAGAGAGAGTGAGAGTGAGAGTGAGAAGTGATAATAACTTTGAGTTTCAAGTCATTGAATACAACGGGTTCCATGGCCGATTTCAGAATGTCTCCCTCATAATGAAATTGTCAAGGTTTAATACCTTCGATTCTTCTCTCTTGCTCTTCGTCAATTAGCTTAATCGAACATTTATTAATTTTATCTAATTCACGTGTGAGGCGAAGCATGACAAAGACTTATTAGTTTTAGTAATTCGGCCATTTAATTTGAGTGTGAACTATGGCTCCGTGAACATTAAATTTATAAACAACTATCCCTCGTCACAATATTGATGTGCTATTAACTTATTAAAGCGTATAATATTAATTTTTATCAATAGTTGAAGTTCTTAATAATTATTAACAAGGCGCTACTAAATATTATGCTTTTATATTAATATTAAACATACATTACAAGAAGAAGAAGCTTGAATTCTGAAAGCAAACGTAATATGTTATTCAAACAATCAATATACATTTCAGTGCTCATTTTCTATTAGAAAAACAGAATGATGTAACAAATTGTTTAAAAAAAATATTATGATAATGCAGAAGGTCTGTTAAAATGGACACCGATACAAATTTCGAAGAAAATATTTATGTAATACATTCTTTAGAAGGGAAAAGAGAATTAAAAATAAGGAAAAATTAAAATATGACTTTTCAAAAAATTTTCACTTCACAATGACAAAATATTTTTGTGCACATAATATTTCTTAAGCATTACATAATTAAGCGACTTTGTTCGTTTAAATACTTATCATTTGTCCAATAGAAAATTTTTCTATAAAAAAAAAAATAAAAAAAAATAAAAATTGCATTAATACACTCATAGTCCAGTCTTCACTTATCTATTCAAATCTTAACTTTACTTAATCATTAATTCGATTCATGGGTCATTATTATTTAAAAATACATGATTTACACGATTAATGCAAGTTTTATCACAAAAAGCCAATGCATATTGAAACTAAATGACGGACTTTTAAAGCATCTAAAATATTGGATTTACTTAACATTATAAAGGCCATAATAGCATTTGAAACGTTAAGAAATAATTAATAAATTATTATGTAGCATTTTAAATCAAATTTTTTTTAATTAATATATTATTAAATTATGAATTCAAAAACTACATAATGCGGTACAGCTGAAATTCCGCTCAATCTCGTCAAACTCTTGCGCTTTTCACGTACGGATAATTTGATTGTTCTATTAGCCTCGCAAGCTCAACGTAATACTGCACTCAAGTTTTCAAAGGAGCAAAATGTAAAAACGTCCATCAGAATTTCAATGCGGAGTCAATGTAGATGCACTACCTACATTTCAAAAATCGTCGACTGATTTTATCAGACGTAGTGTAAAAATATTAAAATGTTAATAAATAATGGACCATATTCTCCATAACGAGGCTCAAAGCCACATTATAATTATTAATTTTTCTTTTTATTTGTTACAGTGAAACAACATGCTAAATGAATAGAGACGCATGTTTTTTCATTCGAAAGATTACAGAACATTGGAATGAATTTTCAGAATCATTTCGCTTGAACACTAAATTAATATTATAGTAATTTTAATTAATGATATTGAATAATCTACCTTCATAAATATTGGAATACTGTATCAAAATAATATCTAATGTGGGTTAAGAAATTATTGATTCGCTATTTTTAAAATGATATAACAAGTTTATTTTATTTATCCTTATGTATATTATGACTGTACTACTCAGAGTATTTTTTTAAAAATTATCTCGAAACTATACGAAGAAATAAATAATACATGATAAAACCGTAATAATCGTTATTACACAAACCCTATTATTTATCTGGATATTTTCTCTATAAACAGATAGTATAATTGTTCATCAATTTTAAATTTCAAGACGATAGATATTAATGTAATCATTAAAGAAGCAAATCGGTTCGTGATAAAATTTTAACTTAAACCGAAATTTTTCCTTTTTTAGCTTTCTGAATTTCTCAATTAATTAATTTATTTATTTTAATTTATTTATTTTAGTTTTTTTTTTTTATCGAATAATATTAATAATGAATATTTTAAAAAGTATTTTTGAAAAAAGCATTTATAAAGTTTTTTTCATTTTACGTAATTAATTGGAGCTATTGTAAAAAAAAAAAAAAAAATTATTTATATTAATAAAAATTAATTTTGAATTATTGTTAAGATATTAGAACAAACCATTAACATTCCATGTAAATACGAAGTTAGATAATCGTTGGCAATTTGAATATAAATTTTCAAAACGAAATTAGTCAATCGCGATGCAATTGATTGCTTCTCGCACTATAATAAACCTGCACTTGGCTTATTATCAAATATGGGAATAAATGAAAAGTAAGAGTTGACGATGGGTCCAAGAGTACCAAGAAGGGACGACAAGAACAAAATCGGCAATACGAGACGCTCATTGGACAATATGTAGTATCAAACAAATTATCAAATGGATCATAGAAAAGGGACGTTGTGGCACAGGAAACTCCTAAGACTTTCAAATCAGCCATCTGCCTAAAACTAGTCTCTCTCTCTCTCTCTCTCTCTTCCTCTCTCTTCCTCTCTCTTCCTCTCTCTTTATCTATCCCCCTCTCATTCTCTCTCTGATTTTCTCTCTGTCAAGGGGTCCGTGCACCCATCTACGCACAGCCGTGCGTCGTTAGTGAGAATGTCGTGTCTGGGTACCAGGGAAGAGCCTCCTCACCTCGCACTGCTCGCAGGCAACCGTCGCCTCCTGGGGCTCGCCCTCGCACATCTGGCACATGAGCTTGACGTTGCGCGCCTCCACGTACTTGTCGACGATCCTCTGCATTGCCCGGTACTTTGGTAGATTGTGAGCACCACCCTCGTCAAAGAAGACCGTTTTCTGGCACACGGGGCACGAGAGACAGAGCGTACCGCCGCTGGGCGGGAAGCAGCCTCCGTTCCCCGGTGTGCCGACGTAACTACCGGGCCTCGAGCCCGTGGAGGTACTACTACTGCAGACGACGCCCGAGTCCGTCTCCGAGAGAATGGAGAGCTTGTCGGCCTCCTGATCGGAGCCCGGGGCCGCGCCAACCGAGTCTCCCGAGGATTCTGGCGGCGAATCCGGAACCGCCTGCATGCCCATGGCACAACCCAGGCACAAGGCGTGCCAACAGGGCAGGAGCACCGGCTCGCTCAGGAGCTTCTTACACGCCGGGCAGCGCAACTCGTCCTCCATTCTTCTATCCTCTCCGAGGACCTACTCGCCAAATCGCCCCCTTTCCCACCTATCCCTTTCGCTTTTCAGTTATAGAGTTGGCCCAGCAGGACCCCGACCTCTTCCTCCTCCTCGACGCACTATTTTACCCGGCCACTCTCGCACTCCACTCGGACACGGAGATAAGCGAGCGCGCGCGCGCGCGCCGCAACCGCCAACTTGTTTCGCCCGCGCCACAGGTATGCGATCGGCGCAGCCTCTCTCACATGTTCGTTCTCGGCTGATCTCGCGGAGCGACGGGACGGAGATGCTCGGACTACCGACACCGGATTGACTGACTGCGCCGCGACGCCCCGACGACGACTCTACGGCTCGCGGCTCTTGGGGGGCTTAGGGGACCTCTGCGGACGCGCAGCGGCGGTAGCGGCGGCGGCGGCAACAGCAACGGCGGCTACGACTACGGCGGTGGCAGCGGCGGCAGTTCCGAGCTTCGTTCGGCACACGCACCGGCTTCCAGGGCCGTGGATAGGTCCGCCCGTGCCCCAGGCATTATTATTTCGCTGCGCTTTATTTGGCAGTGTTGGCCCATTTTTCTGACCGCCTCCTTGTCATCGGTAGGCCTGCACATTTTACAAAGACCCGTTTTGGTTAAAAGAGGCACAAAGAGATGACGGACGCGCCTCTTCTCGCCGACAATTTACGGAAATAATGAAGAGCTTATGTTATGAAAAAGAGGCTTCGTTGCATGTATGCACCGTTCAAAATTACCTGCCACCGATTCGCTAATACTAATCATCGCACTTGGCTTGACTCGGAGACCAATGAATATACAAATGAAATGTATTATCGTTAGTTTTTCTTACCTGCACTCGCGCATTCAGGGTGTCTCGTTGTCTTTCCTCCCGACTCAATTGCCAAGAAAAATCTGGCATTTGCCAAAATAAGATTTCCCACTAAGCCTACAGAAATACCTTGTCCCCTCTATTTGAATGTATAAACAGCGCAGGGGGAAATTTTTCACTCCAAATTTCAACATACACTATATATATATAGTACGTGTGATTTCAAATTTTCATTCCAAATAATCAAGTCTACGCTCGCAATTATCAATACAAATGCAATAATGGTACAAGACAACAAAAAACAACTAAGAAAACGCTTTGTATGTGTATGTGTCTTTTAAAATAAATCTTTCGAAAATAGAGGATAAATTTGAAAAATGTTCAAGACAGCTGCTTGGATACATTTCTAAATAATTAATATTGAAAGGCTTGGCTAATTGTAAAATATTAAATGAATATTTTTATCGAAAAATAGTCAATGGCTTTCATTAGTTTGTTTCATGACTTTCTTATCTGTCGCAAACAAAACTGAAAATATGTGCGTGAGAATATTGATATAAATTAAAAAATATATTTATACATATGTGCGTTCGTGCGTTCGTATGTGCGTATATATGTGTGCGCGCGCGCGCGTGTGTGTATTCGTAAGTGCGCATGCGCGCAAATGTGTGTGTGTGTGTGTGTGTGTGTGTGTGTGTTCGTGTTCGTGCGTGTGTATGAGGGCGCGCACGTGCGTGTGTGTGTGTGTGTGTGTCCATCGAGCAAAAACAAATACGTCATTCGATGTAATATTGTAGTGAGTATATTATTACTCGCTCATAGATCTTTTTTTAACAAGTAATTGTACAAAAAATTATTATCAATGCAAACAGCTCAATATACTATTATAAAAAATTTCTTAAATTTATTACACTCTTACATAGGTAAAGCCCAATTTGTGCATTTTAATTTTTGATGTCAAATAAACTATGATATTAGATATAGAATAGAATAAGAATCAGAAAAGATGAAAAAGGTTTAATTACAATAATAAAACCACTTTATGACATGATTCCTCTAAAAATAAGGATGAATATAAAAATTATTATTCTGTAAATTAGCTAAAGATTGTACAGAAAAATCAATGTCAATCTTTTGTTATGAAAACAATGCATGTTTACTTACTTGTTTGGTGGAGGTATGCAAAATTTTGTAATAAATGATGACATATTCCCAATTTAGAAATTCATCTTATTATAACACTGTAATAGAAAGTTAAACTATCTTAAGAGTCGGTGACCCGAACTGTTTCTGGCAACGTACCCAAACATAACAAACGAGTTTTTTCTAGGAATATTTGTTTCTTCCTTTTATCTTCAGTTTTGTTTTGTTTTGTTTTTAAATTCACATAACACCCGAATAATGGGCAATTTAAAAAGTTAAAAAAAATTACAATAATTTACAAAGCTTATGTAAAAAAAAATTACTGTGAATGTATATATATATATATATATTATTGTTATTATTATTGTTATTACAATATTAATTTCATACGGTAATGAGAATTATATATTTACATTGAATTATGAAAATGCATGATTAACAGATTTCAACTTTAATATAAAAGTCATTTGTATGTAATAACTTAGATAAATTGGTATATTTAATTTTCATAATTTTTTATTCAAATTTCTTCATATTTCAAATATACCAAATATTGATATTATTTAATATCTATAATTTTTAAATATGTAAATATTTCTTTAAATTTAAATCTATAATATTTAAAATCTAATAAAAACTACCAATTAGCGCATATCGAAAAAGTAAATAAATTAAGAAACACGTTCATAAATAATTTAAACGTATATAAAGATAATTACAATTTTATACTATCTTTATCCTTATCCGTTTTTTTTTTTTATGAAAACAAGTATAAAGTAATTTTAGCACGAATTTACTAGAAATGAAAAAATTATTTTGCTCTTTATTAAATTGTAAATGGCTTTTCTATCGTGAGAAAACTTATTGACAATTTATTTTATCATCCATGACATATTGCATCACTTCGATATCTAAAAGTATTGAATTCTTCCCAAACAATCTATTCAAATTCAAAACTTTATGCACTCGAGAATTTTGAAATTGAAATTTGTCGCGTATAATTTATTCACTGTATATACTTTTTGAATTTGATATATAAACTTCGATCGCAATTTCGATAAAAAATTATATTTTGCACAACAAATATCCACTCTCTCATCTTATCAAATATTCCTATAAATAATCCAACTTTTCTCTCGAATGATTGCGTATTACGTTATAGATATTATAAGACAATGACAAGAAGATAAGAATTCTAGATATTAGAAATCTAAAAATACTTCATATTTAAAGAACTTGATTGTGTTGTTTTAAATAAAGGTAAATAAATATAAAAGAATAAATATGCCAAATGCTCAACTCAATTGTCACAAAGAATGTTTTGCATAAAGGTACTGGGCGAAACGAGCAATGATCCCATACCTGTCGACGTTTTTCACGTGCCACTCTCTCTCTCTCTCTCTCTCTCTCTCTCTCTCTCTCGCTCACTCCTCATCCTGCTCATACAATTGCTTCCTCTTTCTCGAGCAAGCTTACGGAAAGACAGCGTACGCCGATCGACGTGTTGGGACTGGTGGGAGCAAAGTATACCTACGGCGGAGGTATATGAAGATCCTCGTACCTGGCGATCGGCCGCGAGAACGGCACGGGCAGGTGGAGTGCGAGAGGGGCGCATACGAGAGGTTGCGAAAAGAAAAAAAAAAGTCGAGGAGAGGTTGAACAAGGCCGATTGGGATAGGGAGATGAGGCTCAGCAGGATGCGGGACATGTGCTTGATGCCAGGAAATTTATTCGCCTCCTGTATAAAGTGCGTCCCTCGGTGGGATGCGCAATTATAGCCGCGGCCTCTTTCGCGCCGCTTTTTGTCGCATGAAATTTCATTTGCTTTGAATTTACGCCGCTGAGTTATTTCTGGCGATTGTAGTTTATGAAAGTACGAGCGGTACTTGGCCTTCTTAATTATCGCATTAAGCTACGGATATTGAATAATTATTTTTATATACTCGTTAGCCTATTTGCTTGTCGGGTTAATTCATAAAAAAATCAAATGACAAGGATGCACGTAGACGCATGATTTTACCATTATTTTTTTATGTATTTTAACGGCATTGGAATTGATTGAAGTTGAGCCTATTTCATCGCGGATAATACGATCGGTTTCATTGTCATTTAAAAAACTTATTATTCCTTATTTTTATCATTGCGAATTATTACAATAATGTATTTGACCATACTTTACATTACTTTTTGCAAAATTATTCCACAGGTATTCCGATAATTAATTATGATTTGAGCATTTGTATTCGACACTAATGGGAAATTGGAATGTTTTTTAAATTAATTTTGTTCTCGCTTATAAGCATAGTACACCAATGATGAAAATATTTTTATTTTTTATTTTCTTTCATTAATCGAAGGATACTATATAATAAAACTAATGTTTTTATTGACTTTTTTTTTTAAAAATGATTGCATTGCATTAATGTTTTACGTATAAAAAAAACCTCTACGAATACAAATTGATGGTTTATCTTTTAATGTTTTTCAATGACAACAGGTTAATTAAATCATTAAATTTAGCAAAATATTATTTTATATTAATTTATACATTAAAGGGATATTAGAAAGAAAAAAAAATATAGATGAAATCATCATACTTAATTAAGAGTGCTGTTTGTAGAAATAATGTTTAAATTCTTTACGCGATAACAGTAATTGAAATGATACTGATAATTACTGAGTATTCGATTCTGTTTTGGAACGATTTTTTAACCCGTCATCGTAGTATTGATACCGTAAAATCACTAAATCTCAGTCAGTAATAGTTCGTTATCGTGTATTTAGTTGTGAATCGATTTTAAACAAAGTTACTAATTGACTCTTATGCAGTAAAATGGCCGTTTCAACGTTTACTAGCTCGAAATATCCATGGAACTTTATTAGTTGTAATATAATAATTAATATTCATATGTGAATGATCCTTGCTTGTTAAATGTAATATTCACATTATCGTCTTTTAAAATGTTCATTAGTCTCAAACATTGAAAATTTATATTTAATATAAATTATTAAACATCGCTAATCAATAGGTATTACTCTATTGTATAAATATTAATTAAATACTTATGTATACACAAGTTATTTACAAAATTCATATTTATTTGTACATGTAATTGTAGTAATAATTTATTTTGTGATTGAAAATCGATGAGTAATTAATTTATAACGTTACAAAACTTAAAATTTTATTAATAAATCAGTTTGTATGATTTTATCTATTAATTAAAATCTTATATTTGACTCAATATTTGAATAATAAAGTCATGTTGCAATTTGACTAAATATAAAAATATCATATGGATTTATGGCTATGGAATTTTTAAGAGTAAATATTTTTCTTTACAATATTAAATATAACTTTC